AGGGAATGTGTTTTAAAGCTTTAGGCCTACTTTCAAATAAACCCTCTCTACTTTTATAGAAAACTTAACAAAATCAAAGAGCTGGCAACCGACTGCGAGACAATGGCGTTGGGGGCAGAGGTTCCACTGTGATTTGCTTTTGAGTTGCATTCTGTCGTTAGACACACCTTTTGCTTTTTGTCTACGTTCCATATAAGTTGATGGAAGTTGAAGAAAGAAATGGGCGCTTTGGAATTGTCAGAGCGGCAGCTTGGGAGGACTGGAGGTGGAGGGGTCGCTTTTACTACACAAAGGGTAGGGCTTCACAGCGGAGGAGGAGCCATCAATGTCACAACAAACACCTCAATGCGTTGCCCACACTTCAAATGCAGATTCAACAACACACGGCCACAGGGCAAACGCAAGAAACAGATGGAGGCTAGAAGGGAAGAAGGGAGGAGAGGGGAGGATAAGAGGAGGGGGGAAAGGGATTTAAGAACAGAACATGATTACTTTGTGAGAAATAACCATCAAAGCTGATTATTTATGAAGTTAGGAATGACATGTGACAAACATAATACCTCTTTTTCATCCCATGCCAAGACAGGCCACCTCAAAAACTTGCCACCAGAAATTTGAACTCCCCAGTCTGTGGCCCTATCAGCATCTATGTCAGCAACATAATTCTACAGGGTGCACATAACATATCAAATTAATGGGTAGGTGTAGACACCATGCTGTACACATGGGAGAAAGTGTGCCCAGGCTCACATGACCTGGAACTCAGACCCACAGATCCACCTGCCCACACCACTCACTCACTCTCTCAGTCACTGAACACTGCATCTGACGACACAACTCATGAATGGGTACAGGGTCTGCATGGAATATAATTTACGTCCTGTCCACAGTAATACAGTTATTTGGCTAAACAAACAATGACTATGTACTATGTACACGTTTCTCTCAATTTGGTTCACACTGCTCAGTCTTTTAACAAATTTACAGCTAAATTTAGCATCACTGCACGACATTACTGGCGTTCATAGGCATCTGCCTCGCCCAATATTGCTTGGACCAAAGCTTTCTTCTTTGGTATTTGAAAGATCGTTGATTGACTTTATGGCCACCTACTGGCCCAGCATGGCATGAGTGTTTGTAGTAAATGTGTTCTCGTCTGGACGAGATACTTTGTAAAAAGGTTGTGTTAAAAAACAAACAACATCTGCAGTAGTGTAGACGAGGCTCAAGCAATCAAGAGCATCTATGTGTCCCAGTCTATCTGTAACTGCTCCACCACAATTTCAATCTGAACCCATTGATGAAGACAAACTACTAATACGAGCAGCTCTGCAAAACAATGACTTCCCTAAAACCAGCACAGGGAATAAGGATGGAAAAACGCCGGATCAAAGGAATTCCAAGCGTGGACTCCCCACTGTTGACACCCGACCCTCATTCTCCTGGTACCCAGTTCAGCTGGAAGGGGGGCTCAGAGAACAGCGGATATAAATAACTGTCTCACCAGGTATTCTATACAATGAAGACAGCTTTTAAAGCTAAGTGAGTTAACTCGCATTCTCTCACCTAAGATGTTAGCCTCTGTCTTTATCTGAGGGCACTGTGGGGTCAAGCTTTAAAAGTCCTTCTCAGAGAGCACAAAGATTTTTTTAATACAGATACATTTAAAAATATTAATTTTACCGCAATTTTTGGGAGTAAAACAGTTATCCAACATGGAATTTTTGTGATATTTATATTTAAAAAAGGAAGCAACAGAATGACAAATAAAACATTATCTGAAAAATTGCAATGTTGAAAGTTATATAAATGTTTGGATAATAACATAGCTTACACCACACACAAAACTTATGGGTATAAATTGAGACTGTTTATCTGACTGATGATCAGTTTGATGAAATTATTTATCTACGGCATGATAAAAATTCAAAGGGGAACAGAAACGTTATACTCCCCCTAGCAGTGATCATCACTCATCCTGCTGCTGAAATGAATATCTAAATACAACAGATATTTAGGGATCTTGTGAGGGAACTGGCAATTTGTTTATGTCCTTGTTTTACAACCCACCTTGTTAAAAAGGGAAAATTGGCTATTGTATCCAGAACATTCACAGCATGTGTAAATATACACAACATGAAATTCTTTCAATGAGGAATCAGATGCAGAATGCGAAAGTCTTGGATTGTTACAATATCAATTTAAGCATGAGTACTTTTTTTTTCCTACCCTCCAAGTGTTGAGCTGATACAAATCTTGACATCAGATATTTACAGATATGTCCTAAGAAACAACAAGATGCAAATATATGGTTTAATCTTCAAAATTAAACATTTTAAATTTGGATCGACTTCCTAGAACCAAAGAATCTAAATATTGATGATGGAAACAGCTTTTCTCTTGTATAAGTTCTCCCTTCGAGCTAAGAAAGTCATTAGCCACCCAGACTTACATTATTTACACAAACTTAACTCCAAATTGTTCTAAAACATCGAACAATTACAGGAGGCTGTTGTTATATCCTGGGCCAGTAATAAGTCATAAGGAAAAGAGGCACATAAATACCTCCAGGAACAAAAAATAAAAGTTTGTTTTTGTGGCTATAATGTCTGGTAATTGCATGGTAATAATGTGGATATAAATGTGTAAAAGCCCTAAGCGTATGAATTCCACTGAAAACATAAAGTAAGTGACCACGTAGCTTTTCTGCTGCTGCAGCAGCATCAACACGCTCTAAAATACATCGATATTTTCTGGTGTTCCTCATCAAGTCAGTCTGAAAAAAATGTATCCTGCAGACACAGCATCTACTATGTGAAGTTTGCTGCAGCTTTGGGCATGTCAGGATTGGCAATATTAATATCATGTGGACCTAACATGTACAGCTACTAACCCCCCCAACACTCGACAATGACAAACTCATGCCAGGGGTTTAAAGCACTTATGCCTTGCTCATTACAGATCCACCATGCAACACTGCGACTGCGCTTCAGGTAAACAGAAGCTTGAGCACTGTGCAGCAGACGACAAAACAACGGTGGACTTTAGACATGACTTTGGTGATAATCAGAAGATAATTCCATTGCCTAAGACTTCCTCAAGTTTGTTGTTTGCCTCCTTTTCACCAGAATGCAGACAAATCCTCATTCCAAAGTCTAATATTCCCAAGAATCCAAAATAGCCAACGCAGTTGTGTCTTGCTCGCACGTTAATGAGTTTAAATACATGATGGTATAACATGACCTGAAAACGCGAGGTACTGCATGATGCAAGAGTTTAAGTTATGTCATTATGAAAGCAATTAAGAGGGAAAGAAAGAGAAAATAAGACCAACTGGATTCTAGTCTTTTTCAAAATGACAAGCAGCTTAAGGAGCTGTCAAGCAATTTAAAGGGAAACCTGAAGAAAATCACAGGAGGTGCTCTGGTGTGTTGAAAATGCAAGAGCTTCTGGAGTCTGGGCTGTATTCAATAGATAGATGCATTTCTGTTCAAAGTTGCTGGATTGTGGGTGGAGGAACTGATTTTCTTTTTTTTCCTTGATGGGCTCTAATTCCTCAAACATTTCTGCCTTTGAGGAAGGCATCACTAACCAAAGAGGCTTAAGGCTCCTCTGAAGCAGTTCCAAAGGATTTCAGCACTTGACAACAAATGCGCAGTGTTTACACCAGTGCCAAAATACAAAACAAGCATGACCTCCGACACTTCTCCCCAGCATTTACAATCCGCACTTGTCACCAGTCTGCCACACGGCAATGCTTTCAACTCAAGACTTGATCTATTGTTACCTGTAGAAATCCCTCTGATCGGTGCACTTAATACCAACATGTGTTCCCTACACAACCAGATGAGGGTCTCCCCTAAAGGAGAGTTCAAATTAATCTTGTCAAATTGTCACAATGAAAATAATCTGTAAAGCCATTCTCAAAAATGAAATCCAAAAAACATCAGCGCAATGGGGTCCAGACTTGAGTTTGCCTTTCACATATGAAGAACAAAGGAGGAGGTTGTTTGGGTGAGATATGTTTGCAACAACATAAAAAAAATGGCTGGAGCATTCAGGTGAACACATGACATTAGATTGAATGCAGATATCACATGTTTTTGTTTACATCACAACACCAATGTCAACCATTATTTCCAAAAGCTCCCGAATCTCATTGTCTTTCCAAGCTGACATCTCGGTCTGCGTTTTCTACTTGTCTTCAATGCGCCCACTCACTCGCAGGGAATTCTCTGAAAAATCTCCTGCTGTATTCTCACATTCGCTTATTCGGGGCTTTCTCTGGTGTTTTAACCCAGGAGCTGGCAGGAGAAAATCCAGAGTTCAGTGCATGTCTGGAAGCAGCTTCACAGACACAGTAACGCAGTGTCTGGAGATTTTATGAAGGGGCTGGCAAGAGAAACGTCAGAGAGTCTCCGAAGCAACTGATTTGGACATTAACAGTTCTCATATAAAACCTTTACCGATAATTTCAGGAGAAAATCTGCAGTTTAGAGAATGTCTGAAAGCACCTTAACAGAAAGAACAATTAGGGGTCCAGAGTTTTTACTAGGGGTCAGGCTGGAGAAGTCGTAGAAGGCAGCAACTGATTTGGACATTTGCTTTCTCTCAACAATTTCTGATAGTTTCAGGATAATATCCGGAGTTCAGAGCACGTCTGAAAGCAGCTGGTGTTCATGCAGTCCACTCCAAGAGTTTGTGCTCATGCAGTTTATTGGAAGTGAACCTTCAACTCACTAGTGCAGCCAACGTGAATAGACGCCTGGTAAAAGTTTGAAAGCTTGAACAAAGTTAGTCAGGACTACGAGTGTAAACCACACTGGAGCCTCCGCGTAGTTTTATACGACATCCCTGCAAAACTGCACCAAAACCATCTCGTTCTTTCGGGGAAATGCGGACGAGCACCGCGGCGTGACTAGACAACACTTCGGGAAGCCTTTCCCAGTACGCTGCCTCGCCGTGGAGGACTCGAAGCTCGCGGAAGACGCGCTACTCACCCGTGCAGTCAAGCCGCAGCTTCCCCTGTGGTGACAGTCCCGCCGCTCGAGGCGAGAGCTCGTGCAGTAGTACTTCTGCTTCACGAGCCAGTCGTCCAGTCCCTTCCGCGCCAAACACGCGTTCACTACGAAACTGTCGCCTGGAAACAAAGAGGAGCCCCGTTACTCTCAACTGCGTCTGTCCATCTTCAGAAACACTCTCAGACTCCGGTGAGAGTCCGGAGTGAAAGCTGAGAGAACATATGAGAAAAGTGAGGCACGGTACGAACAGGCGCTCTTACCTTCGGGACTCTCCCTCGGTTTACAAATAGCGGCTGTGGGAGAAAAAGACAGAGAAAGACCAGACAGACAGAAAACAATGAAATACTGTTACTGGAAAGTGTCGCGGCGGCAGAGGGACGAAGTGTGGCCGTGATTTGCTCTGAGGAGAAATGGAGCTCACCATGTTTGGAGTGCAGTTTACCCATTTCTATGCATCGAGGTGTAGTTGAAAACCATCAGACGAATATAATCCAGAGAAGGAAATGTAAAAAGAAGAAGGAGACGGGCTGAGGTATCCAGACAGAGGAGAACCCGTGAGAGCAGCCTGAGCTCAGTCAGTGCGACTGGAGGAACCACAGCGTTTGATCCAGAGATCACTGTCATCACGCACATACACACTCACACAGCTTCCTGCCAGCTCTTTCACAATAAACTGAGACACCAAAATTGTGAAAATAAATGCCCAACTTTTGTTAACTTTTGAAAAAGGAAAACCAATTATTATTACATCAAAAGTCTACAGGCTAGTACACGTGTATTTCCAGTTCAGTTCTGTTCAGTTCTATCTATATGGAACTTATTGTGATTTCATGTGTGTTGTTATTTCTATCAGTCACAGGGTCTGTATTTACTCCATTTATTTGAAGTTGCCAGCAGCAGAGTATGAGTGGCAGTGTAACTGAGCAGGGATCAGTGAGGAGGAGGTCGTATTCAAAGGGACCGCTTTGTTGAGAGAATGGGCTGCGATTGGTCAGTGACTGACGAGAACCCATAAAATAAATCGGTCAATCATCAATCATAATAAAGCAGTAGCTGACAGCTAATGACAGCTGAGCACATGACTCTGTGTCCTGCATGAACTAACACGATGCTTCATTTATGTGATTAATGTACCAGCCTATTATATTATAGTTCCAGGAAAACAGACTGACATGTTTGACTAGCTGACACAGGATAGGGACGACTGCTCAGAGGGAACAGCTCACACATTTTCTTTGTCTCCCTCTCTTGTAATGATGTGTTTAGGTATTCTTGTAGTCTTTCCAGAGCTTCATGGTAGACCTGTAAGTCACTCCATGTCCTTCCATATCATTCGTTGTTATGTTTACAATACATCTCAGTAATTGACTTACTTGGTTGTTATATCTATCTAACCAAAATCCCTAACTAAAATGGATTTCAAAATATAAAGATAAAATAGCTGTATTTGGCAGTTGGCAGAAGTAAGTGGCAAGTAAACGATATAGAGCATAATGTGTATTTAGTGTGTGTGTGTGTGTGTGTGTGTGTGTGTNATTTAAAAATGTTTAATTACTATCATTAGACTAGTTGAATACCCCACATCAGCCTATGATCTGTCATTTTCAAATGAATTACATGGTTTACACTGTGAAAGTACTTTAATTTCACACCTATTTTATTTTCATTGCTGTTGATTTTCAACAAATGGTTGTTTCCACTGCTTTTTGTGATGCACTTATTATTTTGTACGTACGTATGTTCTATAGTTTCTGTTAAAAGGAAAAAATAAATCAATATACTTCCATATAAAAGTTGTAACTTCCGGTGTTGATTGACTTTTTCCAGCTGACTTGACGCACCTCGCTGAGCTCTCCATTCTTGCCTCTGTCTTCAAAGCAGAGAGGAGGCGCAAAGTAAACCTCTGTCAGCCGCCTGCTCATGATTTACACCTCAGCTCTGACTGCAAGTAAGCGCATGGAGACGTCGCTGCATTATTGTCAGTGCTTCCCGAAAAGGTTTGGGGACCACCACTGGTCCTAGCAGGGGTCCCAGGACATTTACATGAGGGGTGTCAACAAGGAGTCAAGGGTCAATACTGTGTAAAATCTTTTATCAGAGCAAATAAAATAAGCAAATAAGACAGAAACTTGCTTTGAAGTTGTAAAAAAACTTTGTTCACTGATGATCCCCCTGTCATATGTTATGACACAACAAAGGTTTATTTGCAGCTCTGATTCTCTATACTTTAGAATGAACGAACGCCCTTAATAGAACAGGACATCTCACAGTTCAATCCCTGCTTGGATCAGATTCCACCTCTCTCTTGATTTGCTAACTTGTTCATGTAATAAACCATATCAGCAAGAACAAAATCCCATTGAGCTGCGTGGCCAGCGTGCATCTGTCTTATACAAAAGAATAAGGTCTAGAAATCACAGTCTTATTGGACTGCGGGAGCAGATGAAAGCGGGCTGAGATTCTTTTGAAGTCTTCAAATTTATAATAAAAGACAGAAGCCACTGTGCCATTTCATGCCAGGCTGCCAGCAGCTCAGTGTGACAGTAATACGTACACACTGTGGGCATCACTGTGTGAGAAAGAAACAGTAAAGGGAAGGAGTCTTAAAGATATACCAGATTAAAATTCTTACCAACCGTGTGGTTGAAATTACTTAAACATCAATAGACATTCAACATTATTAGCAATGTTGAATCTATGAACCTGAAATATTTTCTTCACCAGACCATAATATGTTGCCTTCATTGTTCTTGCCCAAAGAAGGATAATGTCCATATTTTTGACTAAAGATTTTAGATCTCTCAATATATACTATATCTGCATCAACAAATCAAAAAGCCACAACAATATACTGTACGAAACAGTATATTAACAAAACTGAACAAAAATAAAACAAAAAACTGTTAGAATATAAATAAATACATTTATGTAGTTGTGTTTTTTATTTTACAAATGTTAATTTCCCAGTGGTGCTTAATATAACCAAGAGAAAACAAAGCACTTTTTAATTATCCCGGCTGCATCTTCAAAAACAGTCCACTTAGAAATAATAAGATAATATGCTCAGTCAAAAATGATTTCTTGCTGGCTGTCAGGTGGTGTAGTATTTTTTAAAAATTATGTTTAGTGAAGTTCCACAAAGTCGACATGTTTTTCACACACTGATTGTCTACTTTAGGAGCAAAACAAAACACTTTGTAAAAAAGTGTAAAAACAGCAGACTAAAATCTGAGGTGTGGCTCTGTTCAAATAGGACATAATCTGGAAACGACATGACCACATGTACACTTGTTGGATTGCTGCTTGAATAGCATTTAAGCAGATATAGCTCTCATACAGCTGCACAGTAATGACCCCTAAATTATTATTGGCCTCTACAGTTAAGGAGTCAAAGCTGTGTTTAAGTTTACAGGTCTGTTTTTTTCCTACACCTCCCAGAGGAAAATTTTACTGCTCAAAGTTTGCTCTTCTGCAGCTTAGGAGACTAAAGTCTCACTTCAGCCTTATTTTACTTTCTGTTTTTTCTGGTATGTTTCTCATATTTTAGTTTAAAATTCATTTGGAGAATTTTCCAAAGGAGAAAAAAGGAGCCATTAATAACTTCAGTAAGGGATCTCTCACAAGTCTTAAGTATGACTTGCTAAATATCTTGTCTCACCTATTTCTCCTACAGTGAATTTTGGACGAAAATATGAAAAACACATCAGACAAAATAGAAAGTAAACTAAAGTGACAATCAGACTTTTGTTTCGTGAGCTGTAGAAGATACATTTTTGAACAGTAGAATTTCCCTCTGGGCAGTAACTATGTGCCTCAAGCATACATTTACATTTACTCTTAACCTTTCTTCAAGACAGTATATTCATGCAGTCCTTCAATGAGGCCTAGGATTCATTTCCATTCCCACTGCTACAAGAATGTGGAATCTGTGAGAGTTTTTTACACTTATGTAGACACTCACAACCGCTTGCTGTCATGACGTAGCCTTCATGACGTAGCCTTCTCGGTCATGACGTAGCCTTCTCGGTCATGACGTAGCCTTCTCTGAAACATAATAGTATGTATGTAGACCATATTGATGAACTTAGACCACCTCCAAATGTGAGTGAGCAGACCTAAATGTGTCCTCAGTGCATCTGGGATGCTTTCCCATTTGTACTGAGAGATGTCCACTTTCGATTGGATTACCTTTGCTGGATGTTAATACCAGGTTAGAACAGGGCCATAAAGAGGTCAAGCCAGAGTTTGATGCGACTACTTGCAGATGAGGTCATATAAATTCTGTAGTTAAGCAGGTGATAGCCAAAGGTGGCAAATGCAAATATCAGAGTTGGGGTGATTTTCTGGGAAAGTTAAGATCAAAAAAGCAATCTGGACCCAATTTTCAGGGAAGGATTTTCACATCTTTAGGGACATGGCTATACACTGGGCAGATGTCCCTGATGCAGCCCTCCAGTTGGATTTTCACTAAACAGTGGTTTCCGCATCCTGACTATATCATCACATGTTGTACCAAGAGGAATCAGGCTTGCCTTTGAACTAGTCTGCCACAGACACACAGATGAGCTTGTTATTATAGCATCTCGTCTGAATTTGCTGGGAAAGAAGGCCTGTCCCTCTGACACACTTCCTGTCCTTTGAAGAGGCCAACGGAGAGATGGCTTTGCGGGCCCTATTTCCAAGCTCTGCCTTTGATGCCTGAGAGAGAGGAGGTGGCGGGGGCTTAAAGCCAGAGTCCCATCTCATGGTCATGAACCCCCAGCTCTCCAATCTATCACTGTTATTGTGGGGCGCATTTGTTTTGGCCTGACACATCATGAAATCTGAGAATAAATGAAGGAAATATTAGGCTCTTATTGGGGCATTTGTCAAATCCAGTGGAGATCTGTCTTCTGATTTCGGTTGGGTTTCTGTTTTTTTTTTATGGTGTAAAAGCTTCATAGCACAAAAGCTAAATTATTTAGACACCTGCCTGATTAGGTATTTTACCGACCTGGGGGAGCTTCTACCTTGGTGGCCAACTCCAAATCATTCTAACATAAATCTCAGCATTCTCCCAGGAAACATGTGTAATGGGGGGACATTCACATGGCCAGACTTGGGGGTATCGGTTTGTGTGTGTTTATGTCCTCGCCCCCAGGCTCGATGCCTGGAGAGGCCATCCAAGGAATGCTGCCTGGTAGTGTGGAGGGGGATGTGAGGCATATAGAGGAAGAGAGGAGCAGCTGCTGGGCGCTTAAAGCTCTAACATGTGACTGTTGCCTTTATCTTGGGGAACAAAAGGGCATAAATGTTGTAAAGAGCAGAAGACAATTGTGACTTAAGTACAGTGTTGATTCCTGCCGTGGTCGTGACTCAGGCCATTGTGGTGGCCCAGCGTGCGATGTGTCAGGCGAAAGGGAAGCGGGCAGGGAGAGACAGCCTGGCATGCCTTTCGCCATTCTGAATACGGGAAGTAATAGAAATGTATGGATTCACAGTATTCCTAGACACAATGGTATATACTTTTACAGCATTGTCCTTTTTGTACGTTTTTCTCTTAGTTGCAAAGTGAAGTAAATTCATTGTCAAAGCAGACACATTTGATGTATTTGAACTAACTGGCAGGTGGCAGCTGTTACCTTTGAGAGCCTT